GTCTAAGCCTTTGTCTTAGTATTTCTTCTTGGTAGATCTACTTGGAGGCAACGCATTATCATCATGTTTATGGCCCACAAGTCAAAATTTCTTAGACCATTTTAGGGCCATTACGCACGACACACCCTCTTCAAATACCTTACAACACCTTCCCCACAAAGCTTTTCCACTTCAAACAGTTCCTTGATGTGGGCAGTCTTTAACCTTTGTCAGATGATGTGAGGGGATGGGTTAGAAGGAAGGGTAAACTAGCAGAGAGTACAATGGAAGATGCATATGATAATATTTGGTGTAGTTTGCTGTAGTTCTTTAAAGCTGCTAAATTTGTAGACTCCATTATTTGCGTTAACTTGAGTGAAAGCAAGTGCAGAAGGGTTGGGAGACTGGTAGTCTAGGGAAGTTGCACAGAACAGTGTGAAGGTCAAATCCCAGGTGTATACCACAGGCCTACACAATGCTGCAAATCATTTATCATGGAGGCTTGTAAAGCACTCCTAGAATGGCTTTAAGAAGACGCGGTGAAAACATTTGGCTTGCAAAAGTTGAGCTACATCAAAATCACTGTCTTCCCCTTACAACGTCTGACCCTCTATGTCTGTGTCCATGGCCCCGTAATTGACCGACTCGTCTGAGCCGAAGTCATTAACATTAGTTAAAACAGCGACCTGTCTACGAGACTCGCCTTCATCACCTCACCACTAATTGCGTGGGTTTTGTTGACACCTTTGATTGCAGCGCTTTAAACTCTGCGATGAAAAAGCTGGATGAAGTAGAGGCACAGATGCAAAACAAATACACTTTTTTTCCTTAATGTGGAAGTACCTTTTCTTCCTCTCTCTCCTTCTTTCACTCATTTCCTGTGTTACAAAAATTCCCATTTCGATGGAACTTTAAAAGCTTGTGTAAATTTGGTGATGGCCTTTTTTACCTGATTTTGGACTCATTTAAAACTCAAATAACTCAAATGTCAAAATAGCCTTTCGGGCTCGAACAAATAATCTGACTAGCAAAAGTGCGACCTACATGATCACCTTCACAGCTTACCCATTTTCATTTGACTCGGTTTGGTATGCGATTTTTGTCCTAATGTTGCTTATCCCCTTCTTTCTTTCTATTCCCTAGTTTAGCTGATAAGAAGGTTTAACTATTCGTAACTTGATCATTTGGTTGGTAATAAGGAGTAAAGACGTACAGATGGTGATTTTCGCAGTTCTATTCAAGGCTTCCACACTGCGATAGTTATTTCCGGACTGCATAGGACACATAGAGGATCTGTGTACTATTTTTCCCTTTCTCTCTCTCTCGAAAGGGCTAAAGAGAAGTGTGGGGATGAACAAAAGATGTGAAGCACTTTGCAACTCTCATTTGCGTCCTGAATACCCTGGCCTTTGTATTAGAGCACTCATTCAATCGACTGTCTCTTGGGCTTACTTAAGAAGGCCACAATTTGGCCAATCTGCCCACAGGTGGTAGCAATAACTGAGAGGAATATTTCCTTCCTCTACCTTTTAATAAAAAAGCTTCTGCGTGCGGTAGGCTCTCACTATTCATATCTCCTGCCAATTAACTGATTGTGACCTATTTTGTCTGCTCAATGAAAATTGTTTTCAACATTGGGTCAACCTTCAAGCAGCAAAATTTCAAGTCTCTAAAACTTTTGTCTTGAAAAACCCTTTTCCCTTATTGAAACTAAAACAGGAGCAGGACAATGCAAGAGTCGTTGGAGTTACCTTGTTTCAATTCTACGCAGTGATCAGAAGCGCTTCTGTCCACCTTCCAACAATAGCACCAGTGTATGTTGGAGAAAAGGCCAAATTTGCTTCAAGTAAGTAGCCGCCACTTGTTAATAACCGATTCAGAAAGAAATCGCTAATGTGCTATAATCAGCGGAAACAAAAACAGGGAATCACACAGTCATCGCCTACACCTTTCAAGATTGGGCTTCTCCTGCAAATTTCAGGCATCTCTCACTTCT